CAAAGCATAAATAATGAAAGCGCAAAATAAAAGGCAGCTGATGGGAATCAGGGAGCTGGAGCTTTTGTAAATGGGAAAGGGATTAAGAGGTGGAGGGAGGGGGAGGGGAGACAAAAAGAATCCAAATGTGACATGTACACGCATGTATATGTACCAACTGCCCACAATAAATGTCTTCATTATGTACTGCAAATGTGTATTAATAAAAATAAAAATCCGGGGGGGGGGAATCCTGGTTATGATGCAGGCAGGTAGGTAAACAGCAGACCTGGCAAGGCCAAGCAGTGGCTAATTTGGCCTACGTGACTTCAGTTGGATACACGGAGTACAAGAGACTGAACCTTGCTTGGCATTGGCATGCAGGGTGAACGAAACACATGCTTTAAAAATCTAACACTTGGGACAAGGAACAGAACTCAGTCCTCCGTCATCTATTTGGGCCAACCCTGAGTCACGTCACCTTATTCATGGGCATCCAGCTGGGCCAGGACATGAAATGGTCTGATCAAAATAGACAGTGAGTGTTTACATTAAAAAACATAATCTGTTTTTTTTTGTTTTTTTATAATAAAAGACACACCATCATAAGCTCCCCTCAAAATCCTCCCCCTCACTCAGAACACAGTTATACCATCTCTCCGGCCCCTTTCTGAATGAGTTCTGGAAGTCCTCTTCTTGAGTTATGCTGCTGTGGCTGCCTCCTTGCCCTGAACTGACTCAAAACATTTCCTACTATGGTCCCATTGACTTCCCAGGACAGCAACGAGTCACAGGGTACCCGACCTGGTCAGTGAGATGCACCATGATATTTTTATTTGATAGACATTGCTGTAAACATAGACAATGAACTGGTTCACAAAGTGGCAAGAATGATGGGAAAACTATGTTTGAAGCGAGGAGAGGATTTTAAGGGGGTTCATGGCTATTTGCCTTTTACTGTTATACATTTTTAAAAATCTAAACATTGATGGTATTTTTCAACCACATCTCCTATAGCCCAAGAATGGACTGCTGAGACCTAATTAAAATTATGTTTGTAGTACATTCTTAATTTTAAAAAAAGGAAATGATTATGCTTCCTACTTCAAGAGAAAAAACAGCAGAACCTTTACTTGTTTATATTATAAGATCTTAACTATGTAAATGTGCATGTAAAAGGAGTCAGGGCACAAAGGAATGAGCAGTTGCCTCAGGTTAGTCTCCTCAATATTTGTTTTTTTCCAATTATATTTGCTTTTTTGATACATTCAAATTTTCCTCCAAAGAGTGTATGTTACTTTTAAGATCTGAAAACCAAATTGTTCAGCTAGAAAAAATAGTGCTTTAATCAAACTTGAACAGAAGGTAAGCAAGGATGACAATACTAATGTTGGAAGAACAAAATTCTGGGTGAAAAAAAAATACGCTTTTAAGATAAAGAGAACATTACATAACAGCAACAAGCGCCGCTAATAACAAAGACACGCAGATACAAATCTATAGCTGCCAAGGAAACTGACAACACGATGCTGAAATCAAACATTATTAAAAACACAGGAAGGAATAGTCATTGTGGGAGGAAATTTTAGGACATCATTATAAAAAAGACTTAAGAAAATAAACTCACTCTATCTAACTACACAAAATTGATGTCGGGCAGGAATTGAATTCTGTGATTACTGTGTGTGGGGGGGTCTTTTCAAGTAGATATAGGGCATTTACCAAACTTGATAAAACAGGAGGCAAAGAACATCTGAATAAAATCAAAAAATAATAATTTCCTCTTCTTATGAAAGAAAAGGCATTTCTGGTCTGGAGAAAATGTTTAGGTTAGATCCTGGGATTGGCAAGAAGACAATGCACAAAGAAGGCCAGCTCCAGGCACCTTGGTGTGTGAAGGTGGAACAGGGCCCCAGCAGGTTCTGGAAGGTGGGGCAGGACTGAAGCTACACTGTCTGCTGAATAAGGTCTCTGGAAGGCACGCTCAGCAGACTAAATGCCTGCTTTGGCAAGTGCAGGGACCAGGGTTCGATTCCTGGTCCCACATGCCACACTGGCCCCACCTCCTGGGTACAGAGTTGGTGAACAATTCTGGGCGTGGTGGCGCACACCTGTAATCCCAGCTCTGGGAAGGCTGAAAACAGGAGGATCACTACGAGCCTGAGCTACATAGTGAGACCCTGTACCAAATACAGAAAATGAAAAAAAAAAAAAAAAAAAAAAAAATCTCTGACTCCCAGCTCAGAAAAAGACTCTTTCAGACTAGACAGTAAGAAGTAAGAAAAGGAGTTATTTAGGAATTGCATATTCAAAAATCAGCAATAGCTGTCACCTCCCTTGATAGGGAAAACCCATTTTGCAAATGAAAATGAACAGAGAAGAGGGACACTTGCCAGTAAAGGAAATCAACAACAACCACAACAAACATAGTAAATGAGTTTTGGGCCTTGAAGCTGTGTTTTTATGTTTAAATTCACAATGTTTTCTTTTTTCCTTTATTCTTTTCTGCCCTACTTCAGTCCAAACCACATTCTTCCCCTCCTCTTTCTGCACTCACTGATCACCTTTACCTGGATCCTACACAAGAACCACTGAAATGGTGCTTTCAGATCGGGCTCAGGGCTTGCTGTTTTAACCTAGCAAATGTGGTCCCCACGGTCACCTGGACATTGGCAGATTCTCAGCTCAACTCCCACCACCCTGAAGGCGAATTTCCTGTGGGAGAAGTTCCAGAAGGTTCCATGCTAGTGCATCTGATGCGGCAAGAGTACAAATGCCCCCAGCTGCCCCTCCCTGGAACAGGTTTGCTTTGGCTCAGTGGTCAGGCAGGGCAGGGGCTATACACCAGCTCCCAAGGTCTTCCAGGGGCATTCAGCACCCGTGGCCACAGTAATCTGCTTTGGGGCAGACGCCTTCCCATTCCAGTCTTACTCCCCCCACCCCTGTTGGTGTTCACTTCACTTTCCAAATACATTACTTGTACTCAAAGCTTTGCCTCGGGTTCTCTTTCTAGAGGATCCCAAACTAAGATACTTGCTGAATGAGCTAGATGCCCAGCCTGTACCTCACACCCACTGCCTCTTTAGCTTCTGCACCCCTTCTCTGGATGGGCTCTGTGGACGCTTCCTGGGGGAGCAGGCCCACAATGAGTGCTCACTACAGATCAGCATGTCTACACCTTACCCTGCCTTTCTCGCTTTGCTCTGTGCCCTGTCTCCCCACCGTCCTTCCGAACCCTACCTGGCTCCATCACTCCTGGCTTGCATGGACAGAAGCACCGTTGAGGTAAGGGGGTTGTAGCAGGTGTTCCAAGGGCTGCCGAGGAAGGGGAGGGGGAGCCTTGCTCAGGAGCCTAAGAGACTCCAAACAGTTACTTACAATCTCCCTCACAAGAAGACTACCCATGTCAGGCTTCATAGCTACTGGTAATGAAAAGCCAAAGATAAAGGCTGTGACCATTAGCCATGATACAACCTGATGGGTGAGGAAATGTCCCAAGGACTGGGAAAGCACACTTCCGGGTTTGCCTGGTGGGTTGTGAAGCTGTGATGTTAGGGACTACATCCAGCCCCTGGCCCTCTTTCTCTCTGGTACTGTTTCTCTGCTGTGCTTCCCAGCTGCCAGGAACCAAGCCCCTCCGATCCACTGTGCTCTTTCACTCTAAAGTTTCTGCCAACCATGGACTAAATCCCTTGAAACCATGAGCTAAATTAAATCTTCCCTCCTTTAACTTGCAGGAATCTGTTGCTGTGTCTCAGCAACAAGAATACGACTGATGCAAAAGGAGAAGATAGGGGTGTGAGACTCCACACGAAGGCCAGTCCTTACGAACTGGAGGCCCTGGTGAAGATACACTGCGTGGTCCAAGTGAACTCAGGCCCTCATGGACAGCTGGCAGTTCAGAAGGGAGAGAAGACATCAGCTCCAAAGTGGGAAGTTCAAATAAGTGCTTGCCTGGCAAGCACAAGGTCCTGAGTTCGATCCCTGGTACCACATACACAAAAAAAAGTGAGACTGGGTGTGGTGGGATGCACCTGAAATCCCAGCTCTTGGGAGGCTCTAAACAGATGGATCACTACAAGTCTGATCTAGTAGTGGGACCCTGAACACCCTGTAGACCCTTCCCTAAGACGAAAAAAAAAAAAAAAAAAAAAAAAACAGTGGGAAGTTCAGCTCTGTGCTCCTGAAAATAATTAGGCTGTGAACAGGACCAGTACCTAGCTACTATCTCACCGTCTCTCCTTGAGACCCTCCCCTTCCTCTCCCCCTCCCCCGCTGCTCCCCCGTCCTTCTTTCCCTGCTCTTCCTCTTCTCCATCCTCTTCCCTGTCCTCCTCAGCTCCCGACAGCCAGGGTAGCGGTCCACTCCCAATCCTGCGGTCGCTCACAGGACAAGCCTCCTAGCCACTGGGCAGGTTCACTCTCTAGTTTGTGACTGTGGTGTGCTTAGCAGGATTTCCCTACAGCAACCACAGTGCATTAGGTGGTCTCCGAGCCCACATGGGGCATAGAGTACACGTCAGCCTCTGCCACACCTCTGGGCCACACAGTCGTCTGTCTCCCGGGACCTCTGAGGAGTGTTGTTACTGTCATCCAACCTTTGCCTTGGGTGTTATTTGAATTAATCCACTGTTTCTAGTAGAGTTGACTTCCAAAGGATCTGCAAATGCCTCCCACTTCTCCCTAGCATCCTTTCGGGAGAGAGCGGGTCCTGGGAGAGATTCTGATACACGATGAGCAGTTTCCAACACACGGCCAAACTTTCCATCTCAGGAAAGAGCAACAGAGGCAGTGGTGGGAGATGGTAGAGGAGGCAGGCAGCCCTGCCCCACTGTCCTTCCAGGAAGTGTGCACAGGAAAACAGATGCAGATCCTTGCCTTGCACTGTATTCTTAAGCTCTGAAGGAATACTGAACCACTGACTCTAAAACAGCATCCTCCCTCCAAGTCCCCCATGAAAGGAGAGAGGCCCTTCTGTCCTGCTGACCGCATGACCTTGTGTGTGGGGCTCGGCCCCCATACCTTCGTCACTGTTGTCATCCACCAGGATGATTTCCTTCAGTAGATGGGTGGGTGTGTGATTGACAGCGCTGTGGACCGAGCGCAGGATGACCGACAGGGCCTCATTCACGAAGATGAATATGATGGAGATCTGGGGCAGCTCCTTGGAGTATTTGAGCTCCTTACACCTGGAGAGAGAGCGGGAAAGCAAGTCAGAGGAAGCCTGAAGGCAACACAGCCGAGGACACAGGGAGGGACTTCCGCTGCATGCTCCTCGGTGCTCTCTCAGCATCTCCTTTTTTTTTTTTAAATTTTTTTTTTAATTTTGTGGGACCGGGGATTGAACTCAGGCCCTTGAGCTTGCCAGGTAAGCATTTATTCTATTGAGCCATCTCCCCGGCCCCTGAGCATCTCCTTTGCTAAGACCCGAGACTGGGCCTCAGAGAGGACATCTCCGAAGGACCCTACTCCCCTAAGTCACTCCACCCCACCCACATCAGAAATACCAAGCAGAAAGAAGGCATACTGAGGGGTGCAGATCTGCTCCTTATACAGTATGCGTCTCCCCTGTGAGACAACACAGTGTGCAGCGCGACACAGTGGGGGGAGCAGAACAGAAAGAGACTGAGAGATGGAGTGAGAGGGGCGCAGTGCTGAGGAGAGAGGCGAGAAACAGGGCTGTTTTTTATGCTGAACAGCTTGGGCTATGTCGGGCCGTATTAATCACAGAGGCAATTTTCAGAAGAAAATAAAGTTTTGTTACAATATACATTGGTGTCTCCTGGAGGAGACTGTCCAGGGATCCATTGATCATGCAGCCTCATTTTTACTCTGTCGCTGTAAATCCATTTCTGGGGGATGCCGGGGAGATTAGAAGGGCTGTTGGCAGGTGCCGGCCCAGGCTGCAGACAGGAAGCATCTCATCGATGGGGTAGTGATCTGGGGGGTGAGGGTGCGCCAGGAGGTCCCTCGGGGCCCCTCCTGAATCCCAAGCTCAGCAGTCCTGCGGATGCTCCGGCTCAGCCCATTACTCAGCAGCCAGTGCATGCCACACGCAAGCTGTGGGGCCCACCCCTGACGCTTAGTGCTGCGCTGCTCCCCAGCTCTGCTTTCTGTGGGCCGGCGCTTGTACCAGCCTCTGGGCCTTGCAGGTGGGAAGGATGTCCAGATGTCACTGCACCACAGAGACTTCCCTGCCCGCGGGTACAGGGCAGGCACAGTACAGGATGGAGTCGGACAGCAAACCCCCGGCTGGGGGGGGGGGCACTCCCTCTTGGTAAAGTGAGAAACAGGAAAGCCTTCCGCGGATGGGGACCTTGGTCATGACCTACCATGGGCCCTGGTGGCCAGGAATAAATCACCACTGGGCCACGCGTCCCCGGGGCGGCAGCTTGCATCACCTTTCTGTATCTCAGTTTCTCCATCTGCAAAACTGTTAAGTGAGCTGGTCATGGTGGCGCACAATTGTAATCCTAGCACTCTCAGATATGAGCATCGTGAGTTCTAGCCCAGTCTGGGCAACTCAACAACTCAATGGGACCCTGTGTCAAAATAAAAAACAAAATGTAAAAGGCTAGAGATGTAGATCAGAACAAAAGCTTTGGATCCGATCTCTACTGCTGCAGAAAAACTTATGAATGAACATACTGTGCCCAGCTCCAGACCTGTGGTAAGAATCCACAGACATAGAACCCTGGAGAGCTCCGCGAGACACTAAAGTGTCTCTCTTAAAAGTTTCAGGCTGCCTCGCTGGAGCCTTCATTCTCCGTGCTGGCTGCTTTGCTCCTGTTCCTGCACTGGCAGCGACCGAAGTCCGGCTTCTGGAGCTTGCCCTCAACTCAGACCCATCCCCCGGGACCCACCCAGGACTCCAGCGCTGCCCTGCTGACAGTCACCTATCCTAGGCCTGCTGTCTTGCTGTCCTCATGCATTTGGGCCCAAGGCAGAAACAGCATGGCAAAAGAGCCCGCAAGTGACAGCTGCTCAGGGCCCGGAAGCCAAGAAGCAGGGAGAGAAGAGAGGCACTGGGGACCAGAATTCCTCTGCAGGACGCATCCCCAGCGCCCACCTCCAACCCTGCCCCGCCTCCTACCAGCACATTCAGCTATGGACAGATCTGCTGATGGCAGAGTCCCTATGACCTTCCAGACCTCACTTTGCCACAGAGATTTTGGGGAGTGTTTCATAGGTGAACCACAACTCAGTGTTTCTAGGATACTCTCTCCTATGGAGAGGATGCTCAGAAATGCTGGATAAATGGAAAGACTGGCAACTGATGTTCCACACATTTTCTGTATGGAGCAGGCTCAGGAGCTGACTGACACATATACTACTCCAGTGTGAAACCCAATGTCTTACAAGGCTGACTGCAGGAATGGAACAGATGTATGGAGACGTAGAAAGAGAGAGGGGCCTCTCAGCCATAAGAACACACACAGAACAGGAACAGAATCGGCTGCTGCCCCTGGGGGATGAGGATGAGCCAGTTTCCACAATGGCCTGATGACCTAGGACACAGATATACCTGGCCTGCACCCTGCAGCAGGGCTGGGTGTGAGGGTGCACCCACTCCTGCAAGGTACTGGGTGCTGTGAGTCAGCGCAGACCCTGGCTTCCTGTGCCATCATACCATGGAATGTAAGGAACCAGACAACATCCACCCCCACGCTGGTCTCCCAGGCTGCAAAAAACCTGGAAGCTCACAAGGATAAAAGGACACATTCTTGATGGGAGATGCCCAGGGAATGAGGAGGGGATGGTCCACTGTATACACTCAACACCCCAATATCCATCACTGGGGGTGTTGTAAGTGCCTCCTAGCAACACAGAATCAGATCTTGTTCCCAGAAATGACAGATTTCCTTCCAATAACTATTCAGTAAGCAATAAACAAGCCCTGGTGTGAAAGAGGACTGTTGACGGGAAAGCTATCTTGAGGTCTGGATCAATTGCAATCAATGCCCAAGGCCTGAAGAGGGCTACAAAGAAATCCAAACTCAGGTTCCTCCTCTCAAAGGGCTGATCAGGTATTGGGTTGTCAGTGAAGCTGCTTCACACGGAGAAGACAAAAAAAAACAGAGGAAATGGCCAAAGAGAGGAGGCCTTCGAGTCCACGGACAGCTTACTGCCCACAGGATATCAGCCTTTCTGTCTATAACCCATGGGAACTTGAAGTCCGTAACTCCCCAAAAGTGACAATCTGTCACGCCTTCCACTTGTCCCTTCCTCTACAGCCGCTGGCTGTGATGTCACCGGACACCAAGAATGCCCACAGTCTTATGCCAAGGATGGTGAACTGGGGACTAGGCCACATCTAGGAAGCCACCAGCAAGAACCACAGTTGGAAGAGAAGGTCAAGGCTCGAGCCCCACAGCAGGGAAGGGATCCAAGACCCAGAAACCTGTTCTCATGCTACCACATTTTAAGGGGACAGCACACGTGACCACAATGTCATATCAATGAGAGACTCCAGGACACCCTTGCTATCCAGTCTGCTGACCTGAAGACAAACTGATGTCCCCAAGTGTCCCCATCACTGAATAGATTTAGATGCGGTGTGGTCCAGAAGATGCAGTGGGCAGATAACAGATGCTACTGCTTGTCACAACAAGTGACACTTACACAGTGCAGGTCACATGCTGTAAAGTGCCAGAAGCTGCCATGTACTGCACTGTCATGTCTATTTCACAGAAACCCTTATGAAGTTGGGCGATACCACCATACCCATTGCACAGATGAGAACTCTTGGGCCTAGAGAAGTGAAGTCTCTTATCCTCAGTAACACAGCAAGTATGAGAAAACACTCAGGGTACCTAATAGGAATTGCACCTTGAGGTGTTGAAACTCTCCCAAAAGACACTGACCAGCCAAGGCAGCTATGGCAATGTTAGGGTTTGTGTCTATGTGTCCCCCCAAAGCCTCATGCAGTCATAGGGCAGCTTCTGGAGTTTGTGATTGATTATTGTGAGTGTGGATGCTGAACCTGCCCTGGGGCAGGTACTATGCATTACAACGTAAGGAGGGAAGAGAAGCTAGCTGCTGGAGCTGCTGCTATTCCTCCCCTTTGCTCTCTTGCTCTTGGCCTCCCCATGAAAGGATGCTCTCTGCCATGTGCCACTGCCTTGGAGACAGCTGAGTATGGACTGAAACCTCCAGTAACTGGGAACTAAAACAACCTTTCCTTCCTTTATTTTGGGTGTTGGGTGTTTGTCCCAGCAATGAGAAAAGAGTAAATGAGACAAGGAGCTGTAGGGACAAAATTCAGTGTGACCTCCAGCTCCATATTTGCTAGCCAGGTGGTCACAGCTAAGTCATATAGTCTTATAACTATCCATCCTAAAAGCCCCCAGCAAGGGGTGGCTTTCTGAGGCTGGCTGCACCATACCCTTGCATGGGCTGCTGGGTGGCTTTTCTAAGAGCAGGCCAGCAGAACATCCTTCAAGAAGAGAAATGAGCCTGCCCTCCCATTGTGAGTACCATGGCTGGTAGGGGTGTAGGCAGAGCCCCTAGCATCCTGGCCGTGAGTCTGGACAGGGTGTCACACTGCGTGCATACCCTTTGGGGAATTAGCAGAAGCCTCCCCCACCTGGAGGTCCCCAATTAGTTGAGGCCAGACCTGTTCTCAGTCACGCTGCAAGCTTGCAAAGGTCCTGCTCCCCATGTGCTCCTGTGGCCCTGTCACCCCCTGCATGCTGTGCTGTCCCTGTCATGTTCACTGTCCTGCAGCACAGGGGCATAGTCTGTGACCTTGAAGATGACAGTGTGTTGGTCCATGCTCAGGACAGCTGGGTAAGCGCTCACAGGACAAAAGCTCAGGTTCCAGTCCTTGTCCCTTGGGTCTCGTTGAAAGCAAGGGCTTCCCTTCCAGGGTCTAACTGGGCTGTCCCTTGCTCCACGGTTTATATGACTGTCACTGTACAACTGCTCTGCAGAGCCTTCCTGGCTGCTCAATGGGGCTCCCGGGTGCAAAAATGCCCCTTAGCTACCCCACTGTAGTCAAGAGACAAATTACCACGACCTGCCCCTGCTCCAGACCTGCCATCAGTAACACAGGGTTCCGGACTGTGACAGCTAAAGCACATTAAACAGTCCTAACGAGGCAGCTGGTAATGCCATGCTGCAAATGCTAAGGGGCAGAAGTTGCACCTTCCATGGCTATAACAGATGAGCGAGGTGGACCAGGAGGGCA